TTTTTTTTTTTTTTTTTTTTTTTTTTTTAAGAGACAAGGGTCTCACTATGTAATCCAGGCCGTTCTTGAATTTGTGATGTAGTTTAGGCTGACCTGAAACTACAGCAATCTTCCTGCTTCAGCCTCCCAAGTGCTAGAATTACAGCCACATGCCACACCTGGCTACCTGCATATAATTTTTATTCATTTTTTGTTTTGTAGTATATAATTGTACCTAGGGTCTGGAACATGCTAGGCAAGTGCTCTATACCCGACCTAGACCCCCAACTTGATCGTCTGATTGACTGGAGACAGGGTGTTGCTAAATTGCCCAGGCTGGCCTTGAATTTGGGATTCTCCTCACTCAGCTTCTCAGAAATAGCTGGAATTACAGGCAAGGGGCCATTACGTCCACCTTAACATTTTTTTAAAACTGCTTTTAGACAATTACAGTAAAAGAAGAAAAACCAGGAAGAAATGAGTTTTTAGAAACAATTTACATGTGCTAATTTTTGTAGATTTTTTTTAATAGATGTATTTGGTACAGGGTCTCACTATGCAGCTCAGATTCTAACAATCCTCCTGTTTTCAGCCTCCCCAGAGCTGGGATTACAGGCATGAGCCACCACAAGCAGACTCAGTCGCAGGCGCTTTAGGCCCTGAGAAGTCTCCCCAGTCCATAAACTCCTTATCTTGAATTCTTGTTTCAGGATCTATCTTTGGAAGAACTCAAATGTAGCAAGCCCAGGTTGGTCCGCAACTAGCGGTGATCTTCCTGCCTCAGGCTCCCAAAGGCTGGGAATACAGGCTTGTGCCGCCAAGCCCACCTGAGAAATGGCACTTTGGCCAGGGTGGTTTGTGTTTCGAATTTCCATATGCTGTCCATGGACTCTGGAATAAGGATTTTTGCTCCGAATGCCCTCAGGGCTTGTTTGGCTGGCTGGAGAGTTGTGGGGATCGAACTAGAGCCACCTGAGGCTGACAGCTTGGTGGAAGCAGCCACTTAAAGAACTGAGCTAGGGCCAGGCCCCCTGTCCATGGACTCTGACGGAGAGAGCTATCAGATAGCTCCTAGGATGTGCTGCATAAACGTTTCTTCACACCTTCACCAAGGTGGGATGATGAGGAACCGTCCGAGGGAACACGCATGCGCCTTCCAAGAGGAAGGCGGCGCACAAAGGGAGGTGCAGGGCGCATGCTCATTTTTAGGTCCGCAGCTCCAAGGGTTTTGACAAGGACTAGGTCAAGCTAAATGGTAGTGCGCAGGCTTCCCGCTCCGGTTATATGATTGAAAAGTCATTGTCCAATAAGAACTTCCTGCAGTTGTGGTCCCACCCCCAAACCTTTCCCTACTTCCGCTTCCGGCGCGTGGGTGGTCCGGGACCAAGATGGTGGCGGCAGCGGTGGCTGTGTCCCGGCTTTCTCGGCTGCTAGGCCGGTCCCGCCCGCAGGTGGGGCGGCCTATGTCGAGTGGCGCCCACGGCGGGGAAGGCTCAGGTACCGAGGCTCGGGTCGGCGGCCGGGTCCCCTCGCGGGTGAGGCGGGGCGGGTGTGTGACCTTGGCTTGAAGCCTGGAGGGGAGGAGAGAGAGACCCGGGCGGCCCCTGGCCGGAGCTAAGCGCTCACGGCCTTTCCGCAGCTCGCATGTGGAAGGCCCTCACCTTCTTCGTGGCGCTCCCGGGGGTGGGAGTGAGCATGCTGAATGTCTTCCTGAAGTCGCACCACGGGGAGGAGGAGAGACCCGAGTTCATCGCCTACCC